CTTCAGAGAGAACCACCCCCATCCCCCAAAAGAAGGAGTATTCTGACCCCGGGAGGGAGCTCCCCGGGCCACCTCATACTCATATCATCAGTGCTGAACATCTACGTGCCAGGTGTGGCCTCTCTGCCAGGTGGCTGTGGCAGAGCCTCCAAGATGGTGTGAGAATGGGGCACAGCAAGTGGGCAGTGCCTGTGAGCCCCCACAGCCACCCACCTGGCCTGGCTCACCATCCTCCTGGCCCAGTATGGGACCAGGAGCCGAAGCAGGGCCGGCCTCACCTCCTGCTTGCTCTCTCCACTGGGCCCCACTCAGGAAGCCTTTCCAGGCTGAGCAGGAGAGCAACTGAGGCAGACTCACGTGGGGCTGGGCGCAGGTGGCTTGGACATGCAGGATATTCGTAAATCCTTCTTCCTCTTGGATTTTCCTAAAAGGGAAAGAAGGCAAGGTGTCTGGTTAATCCCTCAGTCCATCAATGTCCCCTGGGCTCCCCATGGGCTGGACAAAGAGGGGGACAGAGATGACTCAGGCCCCCCTGTCCTGGAGCCCCACCACTACCCTGTCTCAGACACAGATGCCTAAGGGTCAGGGTAGTCAGGGCCATGAGGGAGCCCTGGGGCCTCTGGGTGTCCAGAGCACATGCCTGGCCCAAGCTGGGGCATCAGGAGGAGGAGGAGGTCCAGGGCTTAGAGCCCGCTGTTGTAATAGGGAAAGGCACCCAACAGAGGGAATGGAGTGGGCTACAGAGGCAGCAGGAAGCCAGAGGTGCCGCACTGGCACACCCAGGACCTGAGCTCAGGTCTGCTCCCAAAACAGTTTTCCCCACACACTGGAGAGGCCCAGTTCTGCCACCGTTTTGGAAGCTGCTCTGCTGGCTACACCATCCCCAAGAGCCGCCTGCAGCCACTGCTTGCCTGGCAGGCCCCACATGCTTCAGGGCTTGGCTGGGCAGGAGTGACCAGCCCATGTTACAGGCCCACCCAGGATACACAGCCTCAGGGAGCAGGGCCAGGTCTGAGAAGCTGAGACATTTGCCAGGCCCCAAGGCTCCTGACCCATGCAGAAGTCCTATATCCTAAGTTTCTGTTGTGGGCTGAATCGTGTCCCCAAAAAATTCATGTTGAAATCTTAACCCCCAGTACCTCAGAATGTGACCTTATTTGGAAATAGGCTCTTCACAGAGGTAATTAAATTAAAATGAGATCATTAGGGTGGGCCCTAACCCAGTAAGACTGGTGTTCTTATGAAAGGAGAAATTTGACACACATGGAGGGAAGACGAGGTGAAGAGACACGGGGGAAGACGGCCACCTACAAGCCGAGGAGGGGCCTGGAGCAGATCCTTCCCACACAGCCCTCAGAAGGAACCACCCTGCAGACACCCTGACCTCTACCTTCCAGCCTCCAGAACCACGAGACAGTAACTTACTGTGCTGGAGCCGCCCAGTCTGTGGTGTGTGGTTACTGCAGCCCCAGCAGATGAATAGTTTCCATCCCCTGCTTATTGAGCTAACCTTGGCTCCATTCAGGTCCCAGCTTTGCTGCCCATCCCCTCTCTGAGCCTCGATTTCCCCATCTGTCACTCTGAAGCAAATTCCCACCTCAGGTGGCTGGACGCTAGGAATAGATGCAGGCTGGGGGCCCCTGGCCGGGGAGCGGGGGTGGCCACAGCAAGCTCTGGACTGGGTGGTCATGATGCGCAGCCCACCCAGGGGTCTCCACCACCCAGGTGCAAGGGCCATGCTCTGAGCTTGGCCCCCACGTGCACCATGGACCCTGGCATATGTGTAGGAAAGCCCCTGCCCCTCTCAGCCCCAGCTTCCCTATCTGCACAATAGGGCACTGACGCCAAAAAGGGATCCAGGCAGAAAATGATAGGGAGAAACTATGATGACAAGAGCAAGGCACACAGCCTGGGGCCCAGGACAGGGCAGGCAGCTTCCTTCCCTCCTTCCACAAGCCTGCCCACTCCAGAGGCCCCACACCATCCCATTGCTCAGATTAGGAAACAGGCAGAAAGAGGAGCAACCATGGTCAAGGTCACACAACAAGTGGGAGCAGCACTGGGATGTGCACTCAGGTCTGCTGGCCGTGTGCTTTCCAGGATGTGTAGGATGTCCCCTGTGCCCGGCATCCCCATCTGTGAAGTGAGGGTACTGGACAAGGTGAGCTCTGAGCTGCTCGCTGTGGTCAGGGCAGAGGTGACAGCAGTGACGCTTGACACGCCACCATGCTCCCAAAGCAGCTACACCCAGCCTTGCTGGGGTCAGCTCCCTCAACCCTCACCAGAGCCCAAGGGCAGAGCTGTTCGATCCCCATGGTACAGATGTGGAAACTGAGGCATCTCATACCCACAGCCATGCCTGATGCTGTCAGCATCCCCTCAACAGCTCCATCACCAAGGGTGCCAGCCTGTGCTGTCATCCAGGTCAGAGCTCTCTGCCTCTAAGCCAGGCAGTGAGAGGTGGGGGTACCTAGGGCCCCACTTCATGGGGAAGGGGGAGGTAGGCCCACCAGCCCTGCAGGGGGGCAAAGCAGACATATCCAGTCCTAGAGGCTGAACCCTGGGGCCTTGTCTCAACCCTGTCCACTAAGCACCATCTCAGTGCCTCCCCAGGCCTCAGTTTCCCCATCTGTGAGGTAGCCCTTCCAGCCTAGCCAACAGCAATGTGGGGTAAGAAGGGGCCCAGTGGGGTCCAGCCAGCACCTGCAGCATGCACCATCCAGGGGTCTCGTGGCTGCAGGCAGAGGGAGGGGGCTCATACCACACGGAAGAGGAGGAAGTCCAGTCTCCAGGGAGGGCAACGAGAGGCAGAGCAGGCCAGGATTCTAGCCCAGGCTAGCTCTGGCAGGACCTGCCCACCCTGGAGGCTGAAGCCTGGTGCCCACTTCTCTCCCACCCCTATAAAGTTCTTGCCTTTGCCATCACCCCCCCGCCACAAGGCGCCCAGGAAGCCTTCTCCCCTCCCCACGGCATTGGGCTGGCCCGAGTCCCAAGGCAGTAGGGCCCTCACCTCCACCCCCTGGGGACAGGCAGGGCCCAGTGTCCACACTCTCAGGCCAGCTGAGGGAGCGTGGTGGGGTGCCTGGCACTCGGCTGGATCAGTATTCATGAAGCATTGGACACGGCTGGGCTGGCACGCAAAGGGAGCTTTCCTCAATTAGGGCCACCCTTTGAAGAAGGAGCAGACATCACCACACAGATGGGAAAAGCAAGGATCAGAGAGGTCAGGGAGCTGGCCAGGTGAGGAGCCGCTGCGAAGACAGAGGCAGGAGCACAATCTTGAGGTGACTTGGGCTGGGGGATGCAAACAGCCAGGCCTTTGGCGACAGCCTCAGGGTTTTCCGGGAGATGAGGCCAGAGCTGGATCACTGGGAGCCTCAGCAGCTGGCCCACAAGAGCGTAGACATTAGCCTGAGGGCAAGTGGGAGCCATCGAAGGCTGTTGAGCAGGGGAGGTACGCTCTTAAAATTCATCAGAGAGGAGGCCAGGGAGGGGGCCGAGGCCAGAGCTCAGGCCAGAAAGGACAGGGCCTGGACCACGTGAGGGGCAGTGGAGATGGAGAAAAGTGAATGAAAAGAGGGATTATGGTCTGATGCTTGAGGTATCAGGAGTTTGCACTTTGGGGTCAGATAGCCTGGCTTCTTACCTCAGTGTCCCTCCTCACTATTGTGGGATGCCCGGCCTCAGTTTCCCCATCTGTGAGGTAGCCCTTCCAGCCTAGCCAACAGCAATGTGGGGTAAGAAGGGGCCCAGTGGGGTCCAGCCAGCACCTGCAGCATGCACCATCCAGGGGTCTCGTGGCTGCAGGCAGAGGGAGGGGGCTCATACCACACGGAAGAGGAGGAAGTCCAGTCTCCAGGGAGGGCAACGAGAGGCAGAGCAGGCCAGGATTCTAGCCCAGGCTAGCTCTGGCAGGACCTGCCCACCCTGGAGGCTGAAGCCTGGTGCCCACTTCTCTCCCACCCCTATAAAGTTCTTGCCTTTGCCATCACCCCCCCGCCACAAGGCGCCCAGGAAGCCTTCTCCCCTCCCCACGGCATTGGGCTGGCCCGAGTCCCAAGGCAGTAGGGCCCTCACCTCCACCCCCTGGGGACAGGCAGGGCCCAGTGTCCACACTCTCAGGCCAGCTGAGGGAGCGTGGTGGGGTGCCTGGCACTCGGCTGGATCAGTATTCATGAAGCATTGGACACGGCTGGGCTGGCACGCAAAGGGAGCTTTCCTCAATTAGGGCCACCCTTTGAAGAAGGAGCAGACATCACCACACAGATGGGAAAAGCAAGGATCAGAGAGGTCAGGGAGCTGGCCAGGTGAGGAGCCTGGTCACCTGACACCCTGCGGGGGCAGCAGATCTGGGATTCAAACATAACTCCCTGAAACCACCCAGAGCAGAAGTGAGGGGCCTGCCCTTGCAGATGCCTCCTTCCCACTTCCCAGGCCCCTGGTCACCTGACACCCTGCGGGGGCAGCAGATCTGGGATTCAAACATAACTCCCTGAAACCGCCCGGAGCAGAAGTGAGGGGCCTGCCCTTGCAGATGCCTCCTTCCCACTTCCCAGGCCCGGTCCTCAAGCCCCCACCCATCACCGCACACCCGCTGCTGCTGGCTCACTCTGGCCGCCCAGGGCCCAGGAACGGCCTGGGGCCCTGCTGCCACCTGCCATGGAGACCCCAGTTCCGAAGCACTTCTGAACCAGGCTCGGATCCAGCCTCCACCAAGCCATACTGCAGCCTCAGTGCCTCATTTGCAAAGCAGGCGACAGAGCCCACTCTCTTGGGCCCAGCACTTAGCCTGGCTAAGGTGACTTAGCCTGCCACCCCTGCTAAGTGAGGGGATGGGGTTGTTACTGTTCTGGGAAGACATGGCCCAGAACAATCAGGAAAAAGAACAGTCCTGGTGGGGCTAGGGGTCCCACTGTCCATCCTTGGGCAGGGGGCAAAGCAAGCAGATACCTGCCACCTCTCTGTGGAAGCCACCTCAGGGACCCCCAGATGCCAGGCCCCAAGGTGTCTTTGTCTATGCCCTGGAGGCCAGCAGGAGAGTCCCAGCTCCAGCCAAAGTCCCTGACCCAGGTGGCTCCCCGTGTCCGCTGCACCAGGACCTGACCCCGAGCTCCAGGAAACAACAACTTCCACAAAGAGTAATAGTAACAGTAGCAGCAGCAGCTGTACTCACTGCACCTACCAGCACTCACCCCGGCACTGCGGCACATCAGTCACCTAATCACTGGCTCCTGCAAGAGGTGTTTGCGCTCCATTTTAAGCTAAGACAACATGGCCAGTTGTCAGGGTCTGGGTGGGTCTCACTCCAAAGTCCATCAAGGCAGTAGCCTGCTGGCCACACACATAGCCCTTCCCATCTGTTACTCCAGATGCTCTAACAGCCCTAGAGAAGGGCTCTTAGCCGCCCTTTACTTGAGGAAACTG